GACGCGTTACGTAGACGTTCCAGGAACATTTGGGTGTTTGTGAGGTGGGCTGGAATGTGGTTAAGCAACTGGGTGAGTATATCTCTGGTAAGTCAATATCCTTACACAGGAATCCAAAACACCAGCGCGAAAACTCCTTGAGGCTTTTTGGATCAATGCCAAAAGCTCTACAATGAATAGTAGGGACGAATGCCCGGAGATCATACGCGACCTGATCTCGTACGTTCGCATCGATTTTTGATGTGGGATGGTGCAGTCGTCAACCACATGCGACTATAATCAGCTGTTCTAAACTTCCTCATTGGAAGTCACGAAAAAGCGGTGGGTTTTTCGAGAAGTTGTTGATCGTGTAGTTACCAAAGAGTCTTTCGTCTTTGTGTAATTGTTATTGAAGCGTTTGGCCTAGTAGATTGTATATCAGTATACCCTTCCAGGCTCTGAAGAAGGCGATACTGCCGAAACGTCAGCTAGCGTTGTATTGTATTGTAGTTAAAATAATTAGGAGTGAGCTAGCACTTGAAATAGGAGACTATCTATCCCTTGAAGCTCGTTCATATACTGACATTTATCGACGCCTTTGAATATATGGGAAACAATAGGAAACAAAGTTTTTCCTTAAAATTATTCTGACACAAATTTTAGTGCACCAGGGCTTGTCAGCTATTATTAACGTCCCAGGAATTGTGGATTTATGAATGTAATAACGGAGCGCTTTAATGTGAATTATCACCACCTCTAGGAATATTACGCTATCCAAAGATAAAAAACAGCTCACTGAAAAACGTTCAGATTTTCATTTATCAATCCAAACGAATTACAACAAACAGAAACTTAAGTGGTGCATTTAATGCGCCATTGTTTTGGTGCAAGAAAAGCGTTATTGTTGTTGAGAAATCATTAAACTCTATTAAAGTATAACAATGAGTTGAAAAGCAGGTAACTGCTTCATTATACAATGTTTAACTGAACTGTTACAAAAGTTTCGGGCTCTCTAGAGGGATTTCGGAGTCTAACACTAGCGCAAAATGATTTTCCTCTGTTTAAGTTGCCAAAAAAATCTACGGGGTTTATGATTAAAGAAATGGCGATTCTGGTAACTGTCCTCTCCTTGTCAAGACTTCCAGGAATAGGTGTGGTATACAAAACTAAATAAATTCGCCAGGTTGCTCGAGGAAAGGTATAGAAAAAAGAATGCATAAGAAAGATTTGACGTAGAGATGATTTATCAATAACAGCTCCATTCTACATGAAATCACAGCACGAAAACGTTTTCGATGGACAAAAGCTTATGTAACTACTGATTTCCAGTTAAGGGATGATACTCATATAACTTCATTTTTCGAGGAAGAAACTACGTATGTCCCATAATTTCTATAGTCCGAGGAGCTAGTCGTCGACCTAAACCTACCAGGAAAAACGAATGGCCGAGGTTTGACAACCCACACGACCAATAGGCTAGGAAAGATGTACTAGAAAGCAACAAAAAATCCTGTTTTTTAGAAATCCAGAAGAAGTGGTCACAAAAGTTTTCATAAGAATTCCATAACAAGTAACTCAAGAAATCGGATCTAAGTCACTCCTTTTTAAATATTCAACAACAGAAATATGACGGACAAATGATGTTGTACCGAATTAAAACCCTTCTCAGGACCAGCTAATTGACAAAGTGCGGCATATATTTCGATGACATGAGGAGACTTCATTTTTTCTGCGATCGCAAAAGGTTTAAGAATTATTGCTAGGTCTACGCTATGAAATTTAGACGACATAGGGTGGTTTTGATCGATAGCTGAGGAACACACTGACAGATGAAACGAAGTGTCCCATGGGGTTTTACGATAGCTCGACTTGGAGCGCACGAGTTTCCTATCGTCGTAAAGAAATCAATGCCTATGTGACTAAGAACTAATGGATAGGTGACAAGCACACACATACACAACATGAACAATAACACTGGAATTTCAAAACACGTGGTGTAAAAAATGCTGCATAAAAGTAATTGGCTAGTTACTTTTCCTCGACCAACTTGCGAAATATAAACTATCCTCGAATACATATTGATTAGTCACACCGAGGTTTAGAGAAAGTCGGTTTCGAAATATTACTACGTTTTGTGCTAGCTGATGATAAAAACACCGACTTTCTGCACGATGTCCGCAATGATGTATGTCCGGAAGAAATACAAGGTGTTACCACCGGACATTATCATTATATATCCACCATCAGCATCGTGTATAAAAGAGCATCACTGAGTGAGGATGCCTCATTCGAGAAGATGGATCACTGAGGAAGACCTGGCTCGACACGAAGGCGAAGCTGCAACGTCGCGACGAACAACAATCATGGACCATCGACTCGGATCATCGGCTCTGAGGAAGACGAAGACGTCGAAACGTTAGTCGAAAATAAATATATTTATCAACCTCGTGCAAGCTTGTCAAGAAAGAATACATATTGATTAGTCACACCGAGGTTTAGAGAAAGTCGGTTTCGAAATATCCGCAGCTCACTTAGTCTTCAGTGAAACTTGTTCTACATCGAAAGAGCTTCGACCATATTATATTTCTACCTTTCATCAGATTTCAAGTATTCAACCTCATTCACATCTTCTTAAGCTATTCTTAATCAACAGACTCCAGGTCAACGGTGACTGACTCATTTGTTTGCAGAATCCTGAGCTCTGTGTGCGAATCTGAGTAGTGTCGTTGTCATTATCAGTCAGCGTCCATAAAATAACTCTGGATAACTAAGATCAAGAACGTTCCTAGGCGATGAATAAATAAAGCGCTTCGACATAAATTTCTCAACAATTACGGAAGCGCTTTATGGATTCTGGACAAGGAGAATGCTTAAGCGATTGCCTCGGAACGCAAACGCACTGATGAAGACAAGATGACATGACTAAGATGGAAAAGCAAGTGAGCAGAAAGAAGAGATGGGCATTTAGAGGAGAGTGTTCATTGAAATACCGCAATGTATACCGAAAATAACTCATTTCTTGACGCAAATAACGCATAGTAGGCTGAACTAGTTAAACGACACAATTTGGTGAATATATAAAAAGATAAAGGGTAAGGTGTACGGCCTTGATCAATCCTTTAATGGTGCACTATGTGTTCGATTTCATCAAATATCCTAAAGGTGAGTGAATACATATTCGAACCGCGAAATGACTAGCAATATCCTTTTTATTTAGCACTGTAGTGTTTTTGTACTCCCAGACAAACGTCACGCTAATTTTCCGACTCCGCAGAAATGAAGAGATTGGTTAACTCACGGCACCTATAACGATTGCAATACACGGGCCACCACAGTTTTTAGTAAGATGTGGGAACACAGTTGCAAACTAGTAGGTTAACAATTGTGAATAACAATAATCAAAAAAATTTGTACCTTGAGTCTCTTCTTTTGTGTAGAACCTATCCTAAAACAATATTCACAAAGCATCATGATGCAGTTTATTTAAAATATTTCTGGAAGTATGTAATGATGAGGTATTTCGTAGACACCTTATCATTTAACAAACGGAGCCAAAAACAAACACTATCTCCTCTCCCCACGCCCTCCCCTTCCTTACTTAAAAAAGCCATTTGTGCTCAATGAAATTCACTTGTTAGAGCAGACAGTCGTTCAATGCTCAGCTTTAAAGCGCATGCTATTTTTCCGAGACCCAGCACATGATGAATGACCTCGGAAGTGCGACGTCCAAGAAATACGGATGAAGAATTGGGTACGACATGACTGCTATCTTGTTCATCGGCAACCTAAGAAGCTGTGGGCGGGTTGATTTCGAATACTAATCGGTGCAACATCAAAAACTTGTTAAAAATCGCCATAATTTGGCTGCGTCGTTCCTTCTACACGACTAGTAGTCCTCCAGCTTTTGAATAGTTCAAGCTCATTCCATTAATAAAGCTCACACCACCGATAAACGGCATTTTGATGATAGTCCTTGAAAGTAAACTTTCATAATATACAAAGTTCATGAAGCTGAATGATGATGAAACTGACCAAGAATCGGCGAACTTTGAGCACGTGGTGTTGTCCCATACTTGAAAACGCTGGCAAAGCAACCACGAATTATGTTGTTGCCGATATGCTGGCCTAAAAGAAACTTAATAGATGATTAAAGCATAAGTATCTCTGAAAACCAAGTCACACTGTTTGCACTGTGAAAGAAATATCCACGAATAAAGGAACGTGAGGTATATTCTTTTGCAAGCATAGTTGTGAATCATAACTGGGATAATTCGCTGTGACCAATGTGACAATGATCCAAAACAGTCCCCTTATACGTTGATAACATCAACAACGGTGACATACGAATATAGTAATATGACGGTGGATCTATAATTCTCAGCGTTTTGTCTCGTCTATACTTTTTTAGATTTTCTTTCTAAGTTCAATCATCAAGAAAACAATAGAAGATGCAAGAACATTAAAAGAAGGTAAAGAAAATGAAGCCTTACAGTAAAAAACTTATTTGTGTGTTAATTGCGAGATTCTTCTAGTAATAATGATGAGGACGTAATTGATGAATCACTCAAATTACACAATTCAATTATTCGCTACACCGCACCGGTGAACTATCGTTGAAAATAAGGACAGCATAGTGGCAAATGAAAGCAAATAGTGATTTGTCTATGTTCATTTGTCATAACATTCGTTCCCACTTTGCCACTAAACGAAAGCCAATTTCATATGCAGATTTCACTATCCTGTGTGGATTAACAGGCATTTTACTTCCTACGCAATACGTTGGAACTCAATGATAGCTTGAAGGCAAATAAAGAGATATGCATGAAATTGATAAGGAATGATTGTCAACAAATGGATGGCCGAATACGTCATCATGACATAGTTACCCCATTTTCATTTTATGACATAGGCGTGAACATAATCGCATAAGTGGGCAATAGTCTTGAGCGACGGAAGCGCCGAAGTGTGCACTTGTCGAGAACCGCATTTGAACATGAGTGGGCACACTTCTTAAGCTCGTGAATAACACGATGAAAACCCGCCTTCAACGAAATCAGCCAACTAAGCAGTCATCATGTTCAAATTACTCAAACAACAAGCACATGCTCAGTACAAACACACATGCACATACACATACACATATATACGCAAACACATAAATACACACGCACACGTAAAAGCACATATACACACATACACATACACACACAACCACACACACACTACACACAAACACACACGGAAAAAAACAATTCGATAAATTCTTGACAAATTTTCAAAAAAAAACGCCATAGCAACAAACCACGCCATTACCACTTGCATTGGTTCACCGCACTCTAGCCAATGAAGGAATCGAGGCTATGGTGCCCGTAAGATCGCCCACAATTTAATAATTTCTATGGAATTTTCAATGATCCGGAATACTTAAAAACTGTGGCTAACAGTACAAATTAGCGATCATTAACTATGATCTCGATTTCTAAAGAAAAAACAATGGTTCTTTAAATCAAGCCTAACAATATACATGGTGACACAAACTTATCTTCCGCCTTCTTCGTTAAGCTAACTGAAATATTAATTCGCTTAAATAACTCTAAATGTCCCACTACTCATCTAATTCCTCAGCGTACTTTTTTCGGTTCATTCATATTGGATATTATCCTTGCAAATTATGAGAATTTGTTACAGTATTGAGTAAAAAGATAATACTCAGAGGTCGACTATTCTTGTAGAGTACACATAATGCTCCTACATCGTTCTTGGCCCTCCAGCCATCTAAACTGTCCTAAGTAACGTATAGCACAGCTAAGATACATTTGAAAAACATCTAACACTCTATTCGAAAACCATGACGAAATCGGCGAATGTACCGTTGATTACTGTCTCAACTCCAAAATCCTTGGTTAAACAGCTGTAGTCAGCTTTTTTCAACAAATTTTACAGACTAGCACTACTGTTACTGAAATAGACGCACTGCATCCCGTATAAAAGAGACCAGTCGTAATAAAACGCCAAAGCTGAAAGGGATATCTGCAGTGTTATGTGAAGGGTACTCCATAAATACGTTAGTCATTATCGTCGAAAAGCTAAATCTCATTCGACTAGCCTACTCAGCGTGAGCCATTTATCATTTCAGCCCTGTTCAAGCGGTATTAGCTCTCAATGAGTAGAATTGTTGTGAAATTGGTGTTAAATTTGTCGTTTTGACGATGTTGCAATGCGTAGAAGTTGATCATATTCTGCCGCTTCAATATCTATACACTGGAATTAAGCATGTCCAAATTGAATTGGATCCCAGACCACATTAGATCGCGTTTTAGCAAGCCTCTATGTGGGAACATGTTCAATGATGTGATATTAATGAGGATTATGAGGATAGTAATGATGACAACGCTGATGACGATGATAATGATGAGAGTAGGGTTATCTGATTTATTCGCAGCGGACATATCATCTACAACAGCTGCTCTATCTTCACCTACTTTTCTCTCCCAGCTGCATAGAACTGCCCAGAAGTTTTGGACTTACCTTAACAATCTCGAAAAGTAGATAGAATTCGGAAGAGGCATTGATTTAGTAATGACTACTATTTCCAATTCCAAACTGTTTATTTCCACTGTTATCAGAGATTCTGAAGAGTAGATTTATACGATGAAGACTACTGGACATTTTTGATACGGAACTGCGGCTTTCCAAGTAACGAGTTGCTTACAGAGTAGCGGTAAATACTCGACTCTTGTAAACTGAGTAATGTGTTTTTCAAGTGTGTACCACGTCCAAAATAGAACACAGATGAGTTAGGAGCAACCTAATCTAGGTTCTACCATGCCTGCGTATGTTAGTCAGTTGTTTCCAAAAGGTCAAATTTATACTACTCTGCATTTCTTCGACTGTAGTAGGTTTGACTAAACCGTTCTCAAATTAAATGATGGTACTAAAGAGTAGTGCATGATGATGCTTAGTTGATATTTGTGATGGTGATGTAGAATTTAAAGCGTTCTCTGCGCTACAAACGACAGTGGAGATTCAACATTTTCTTCAATTGCCCTATTCCACTCCGATTTACCGTGTTGAACGATTAATCCCACCCAGATATCATAGAAACATTAAGAGATCATATCTAAATATGAAGGGTATGTGGCGCAACGGTCGGAGGTGCTTTCCAGCAAACACGTGGAATCGATTCCCGCTCCTAAGGCCTACCCTAGAAGGATAGCAACACTGGCCCGATACATCGGTAGGTCATCATGAGTCACTGTAAAGGCTAGATATTCATTCAATGACCTCCAAACGATGCTTAATGAAGACGAATGCATGGCGCATCCCTCAGGGATTGTTCAACGCCGAGAGCTTCATCCTTTATCCTTTTATTTAAATATGGTGACTTTTCTTTGCTCTGTAAATAGCAGCCATTTTATTTTTGTGATGCATTCATAGCTCATACAGCTAACGAACAGTCTTCCGTCCTATACGATTAGATTTATGGTGCTGCTCGTTACCGTAACCGTTTAACTAGGCGATTGACTACCCTGATTCAAAATTCAGAGAAGTATTTCGCATAAATCGCACTGCGTCAATAGAGATTGTGCTTCAAGTCAAATATGCTAATTAAGGAGAATACTTAAAGGAATATGAATATTTTCGAATGATGTGAGATTTTGCCTTGAGGGTGTCTGAGTAAATCATAACCAACATCTCGCCGATTTAACATATTACGAACGACATTAATTGATTTTAACTCATATGTGACAAAAAATAACAGCATGTGAACTTCTAACAGCAGTAAACATTCGTTCCAGTACATGCCTTAAAATAAAAATCGGTTTCAAGTTTCAGCTAACATGTCAGCCCACAGTAAACTTTATCAACTGAAATAAAATCTATTATAATTCATAGTTTTCTATCAATAAGATGTACGTTCATTCATTCGGGTGTGGAAAACTGTCTTTTTTTTGGAACCCATGAATTTTTCCTTTATTGTTCCTCACTACGATGAAACACATAACTCACCACGAGTCAAATGAAGAAGTGGAATTCCGGAAGAATCACCTTCTGCATTCGACAACAAAAATATTGGAGTAGTCAGTTTGTGAAGAAAATTGCGCACTACGCCGTAACACGGTTTTACAAGGCAACATGACTTGTTAAAAAAGCTCGGAAAAAAGAATAGAACGTTTGAAGTTCAACAAGCTGTACAGAAAATGTATGCCAGATTTTAAAAAACTATTGGACATATTTTTAAGCTTTCTTCTCAAATATTTAAAGCTACAAATTGCAAAACAATGAATCAATATTTCTTTTTTATAGTCTGGCGATAGTAATTGAAGAGACTTTCAGCTTAAGACTTAATGACTACAGCAACATTTCGGCAAATAAAATTCTTAAGTGGGTGGAAGATTTGAGACAAATATACAGAGATCTCTTCGGTGACCCAGAAATACCGTTGTATTGTAACGAGGAGACTTTCGTAAAGCAAAATGATCCATAGACCTACCTGCTAATATTCTCGGCTCAATGACTGTAACGCACATTGAATGACTACACGGTGTCATTCCAATATTCATTTTCGCCGGAATTTTAAAGCAATGATCAGTGAAATTCATAGGACGATAGTAAACCTGAAAAAGTTCGAAAAAATGCAAATTGCAAAAGAAAATTTGATACGAACTTCACAATATGTCATTTTACGTCACACCTGACCTTCACACTCAGTAGCCACATGTACACCCGTCATATGGCACAATTTTCTACTGACGTCTGTGATTGACGTGCTATTGTATTCGAACGAAATAGCGTTAATGATCGGAAAAAACCATTCACCAGCAAAGTTAGAGTCATCAGTTACAGGCCTAAGCTTAACTTCAGAATTAGCCTCATATCCAAGAATCCTGTCACGGAAACTGTTCTTGAAATCAAGTATTTCTTTCAATATGTTCTACCCTTCACCGCCGTCAGTTTAGCTTAGAATTGTATAAAACTGGTATTAGACTAATAAGAAAACCAAGTGAATGAAACTAGTGAGCATACAAGGGACTTAAGGTAGGATAACAGTAAGCGATAGTTTGCTTCTAAGTGAACGAAAAATAACAAATTTAAAACATCCTTCGTACGTAGTAATTATAATCGACTACGATTGCCTACTCCACATCTCATTCTATTAAATCACTTCAGTGGCAACGTTTTATGCACGAATTTGACTACCACTTTCATTTGGTTGGCCGAGAACTCAATGTGAGGGAAGAAAAACGGCAGGCAAGGGGCAAGAAAGCACGTGAGTAGGGAGCGACAGAGGGCCGTTTGTGCGAGAGACGAACTAAATGGAAATCCAATGCACGAAAAAATACTCGACAAGCATAGGCTAAGTTTAAGACTCTGAATAATCTTCGTGTTTGATGGTAGTGGTAATGGTCTAGGTGGTGAGTGATGCCAATGGCGTACTAACAGGTGTTGACAATATAAATTTTTCTTCACTGATAAGAACTGATCAACCAGTGGAATTTATCTATAACTGGAGGTCGTCGGTCATGTAGCGGAGCTACAGTGATTCTGTACGAATTACAATCATGATCTGTTTGATAAGACATGCAGCTTGCTTACTCTTCCTGAAGACCAAGTGGCCAGTGAAACACGACTTCAACAACCATTTACCACCACCACATCTAATGAGTACAACGCATTGATAATAACATTACGATCCTTCTGACCACAAACAGCAATAATTACTAAAGCAGTATTTCATGCCAGTTTCATTGAAACCAATTTGTTGACATAGAGGTCAAGATGTTTCTGACCGCGAAATTCCACTGAATGTGAAGCAAAAACCAATGTCGCGCGTGTGATAGATGGCATGAGGCTCTCTAAGGAATAGCTAGAAATAGATGACGTGCAACGCGCACAATAACTATATCATCTCTACTGACAAATTCGACGATTTCAGTCTGCTTGAGTTGTAAATTTACAAGATTGAATTATGTGACACAAACATACATGCACACACACATACACATACACGTACACATACACACACATACACACACACACACATACGCGTACACATACACATAGACATACACATACACTACTACTACTACTACTACTACTACTACTACTACTACTATTACGCAAACGCACATGACACCTACCGAAATTAAAAACCTCGAAAAACGACAAAGGTTTTCAAAGTGAATTTAAATAGTGTTAATTTCTCCTTCTCTCTCTCCTCTTCTTTGCCAAATTTGGAAGCAGACAATTCGTGATTATGGGATACAAAATTGACACTACTAAATCGAAAACGACTAACATTAGCAACGTCCACAACGACGAATTGTCGTCACTGCTTTAGAGTCTAGGCCGAGTGTCTAGGATGTGACCCGACCGTGCTCAAAATTCAGGTCAACAAAACATTCAGTGCCTATTTATGTGGTATTTTAGCCTATGCCATAAAAACTCATGCGCAAACTCGAAATTAAAGGCATAGCAACACAGCAGTGTGTTACAACACTACAAAATGAAATTTAATCCGACTAGGCAGGCTAAAACGAAACGCAGTGTTTGAATTGCAGGATATTATCATCTTAGCTTCGTTATCAGCAGTATGTGGAATAATCAGCACTTATTCGTGCACCATGAGAGGATCAGATAATAGCTTATACATCGGAATGACGAAAACGGGCTGTAGAAGTGTTGAGAACCCGATAAAAAATGATCATGCAAATTATTTCTCAGAACGGAAACACAGGCCGGAACTTTGCTATATGTTAACTGTAGAATGGTTACTACCGCATAAATAGAATGTAAAAATATGACATGTTAGCGGCTCATTATCGAAATCAAGGAAAAAGCTCAGAGAAGAAGATGATAAGACCAACCTCATCCAAGTACGGCCAGTGAAGTAAGAAGTCCTCGGACATACAGCTGTAACAGTATTTAGTCGTCGAGCTGAAAATAAACGATTGGCGAAAAAACATTAAAGAAGAGATGTTCAACTCCTACGGATGCACTCAAAGCAGCGCTTCTATTCGATGTGGTGTGGAAAAATAGACTACCTGAAACCCATGTATTCCACAGCAATCGTCAGTCGCGAAAAAATTTGCAAGAAAAACAGAACGACGACAAGGCGTGAATTTCGAAAAGAAGACGTCAGCTGATGTTGTTGCATTAGTGACACGCCGGCCACATGTATGCCGGCCGATGGCCTTGCGAGACCATACAGCGTAAACGGCACGATTCAGTGCGATGTAGTTGACGACGACGATGTTGATAGTTAAGAACACTCACAAATGAGAATGTCAACAACAATGACGATGGTGGTCGTCGATGGCCACTACGAAAGGACGGCTACACTAAGGAGGCGGATCATCGCCGCCACCATTGGCACCGCCTATCTGCTCCGCCCCAATCAAATCCGAACCGCGGCGATGTGCAGCCATAATTCGCAATTACAACCTAACTGTCTTTTAATTCACTTCCAGAGGTGCTTCGAGAAGTTCATCGAGAGCGACAAAGGTCAGCAAACTCCCACTGCTTAAGAAGGAGATTAGATGAGTTCACGTGATCACGAATACGAAAAACATATCCAATCATAAAGAAAACAAACATGTATTGTATCTCCCTATAAAATCCTTTATTAAAATAAACTTCCCTAAATCCTAGCAAGGTGGTTCGTATTCAACCATCCACTGGACGTGTGGTCTTCATTGGAGATTAAGAATAAAACACAACAAGTCTCTAGCGTTTCATGCGCAAGTCAAAATTCTCCATTCTACAACAGTCTCTACTCAATTAAACGACAGCCACTTGATCACAATTTTCGAATGAAGTCATCTAATTTTGCTGTTTGTCGAGGCAGCGGCCTGACTATGCTAAAGGCATGAATACATTTATCAACAAGCCTTCATGCTTTATCGAAGAAGTGATGGGATTTACTTCTTTTAGTGGACATCGAACCCTTTTCACGTACTGAATAATATCATTCAATTACAGGCTTAAACCATATCGATGTGCAAGACAGAATCTGCATACACTCAAGCAAATCATGCATGTAGGCAGGAATATTATCATGGGAACGTGAGAGGAATGTGTTAATTGGACGCAGAAACGACATGGTGCGCATCGTCGGAATTTTGTGATAAGCAGACGGAAGCCTTCAAGCTGCACTTAACCCCTTAACTACCACACAGGGATACGACACGTAGCCCGATATCTAACTTATTCGAGGTCACCCACATGGAAGAAAGAACATGTGATCGAAACTGAAATGGATAAGTGGGGAGAATGCAATATACAAGTTCAAAAATTTGGAACAAATTAGATTACTTAACATGGCTTAGTCGCGAAAGATTCATTGGCCAGGGGTTTCGTACAGTACACACACAAACTGGTATCAGAGTAGTCTGGGTGAAGCTCCCTCCAAAGCACAAAGACCGGTGACTACTTGTAGGGAGGACCTGGTAACGCTCTAGCCCAGCTATCACTAGATTCCAGAAAAAACATATTTGACCAGCATTTACCAACATTTATAAAGAAGACCAGAAGTCCTTAAACAATAGCCGAATTCGTTTGCAAATCCAAAGATATTCGTGGATAACGGGCACGAGATAACAAACCGAACAGAAGAAAAGCAGAAACCTACGCAACATGTGAGGTGACATTATACGTACTAAAAAAGGAGTTCATAGGCTCCAGATCTACTGTCACCGTTATCCAGCTTAAACGTCGCGTTATACAAGACAGAAGCTGAGTTTTTATCAGTATTCCATATAAGAAAACAGCTATGAGCGGTAAAGGTAATGCCTAAGACTATGACTGTTGAAAAACGTTGACCATTTACACCGTTATGGAATGACATAAAAAATTCTAGAAAAGCAGGGTTATTGGGAAGAGATAACCCTGTTTTCACAGTGGTACTCTTAAATATTAGCTCCACATACGATTAAAAAATCTTTGAGACAGCTATTAGCGACAAGTGAAATACTTTCATGAAGCGAAATTACCCTACAATGTTAAAGTGACCTAGAAATTCCGGACGTGTATTCATAAGACGTTATGTGACTGAAGAAGAGAAGACTGTACACTTTCCCAAAAGCTTTTGAAAAACAGGAAGATGTGATATATACTTGACTTCTCGTTAAGAAAACAATTGATTTGAATCATCAAAAGCTTCTACGTTCCCATGACCGACTTTCTGTTAACCTCGGCATTAATTGATAATTCAATGTTTTTCATCAATAAGCCAATGACCTGACATGGACACAGTTATCGACCATGTATTACTCTGTGCGGCGGCTATCCACCAACTAACTTAAATACTTACAACAAATAAACGGTAGGTGTTTGAATGAAGCTGTTTCTTATGCGAATGCAAATCGATTTATCAAGTTTTATCTGCTGGGGTTATGAAAGTGTTTGGCTGAGTAGATCGCATCTCAATTTGACCTTTCCAGGCTCTGAAGAAGGCGAAATCGCCGAAACGTCAGCAATTGTGTTCTAATAGCTTCTACGTTCATTGCAAGTTCACATACACTTTCATGGCACCTTTTATCAGATATAAGAGAGAACTACCACAATTTTTGTTAAACTGTTGTGACGTAATGCTGTGTGTTGTGATGGATATGGTCCCCTTCAAGACAACAAGATCGAAAACTAAGCATCATTCATCTTCGGAACGCGTATTTCCGTGAGATTTGTAATACAAGTGCTTGATCTAGTCGTGTTGAAGTGAGCGACAAAGATTGAGTCCAGTTAGCCTATAAATCAAGCAAGGCAGAATCACCATTAAATTTAATTGAAAAACTCCATTGAGAAAACAAACAAATCCGAATGGAATCATTGTACACTTCCGCGTCCCCCAATGAAACAAAAAATGCTGCGAGATTTGAAGTTGAAAAATGAGCGAATCAATCCACTTAGACGTGACATATGTGATGAGCGAGTATGACAAGTCGGAAAGAACAGAATCCCCGCTGATCACTACCGCATTCCCGTCCTATACTATGGTCGCAAAGCAGGAAAGAAAAACATTATGGAATACGATACTTGTTGAGACCATTCTGGAGTAAAAAATGGAGAGACATATATACGTTTCTAAGAAGAAATCCCATATCTTTCAAGGACAATCATCTATTACTACAACGTTCTTTCCGAACTATATCGGCCTCATATCTTCTTGAATCGGAAACAAAACAAGAAGATTTACAAAATTTACACATTTTATTGAAGCTTAAAGGATAAAGGAGCTCTCGGCGTTGATCAAACCCTGAAGCATGCTCCGTGCATTCGACTTCATTAACCATCGTTAGAGGTGATTCAATGCATATCTGGCCTTTACAATGACACGCAGTGGCCTACCGATGTATGGACGCAGTGCTGCTATCTTCTCAGACAAGTATGGTACGAATTTGAAGACCCCAGAGTGATAGAAAGCTTGGTGAGCCTAGGGCGCTGAGATCGATCCTGCGTGTATTGCAGAGCGCCTCCGACCACTACGCCACACACGTCCCTATATTGCAGCTTAGCACATCATTGTTCCACTACCACTGACCTGTATTGCAAATCATTGAGGAATGTGATACCATCTGAAATCCGGACCGGACACTTCAAGTAGTGAATATCGTCGTCATATGTACATCGTTCTTCGTAAAATCCCTACTTTCAAATGATTTGAATTGGATGCGATGGAACAAAATCGTCTAAAATTCGGAAAAAGAGCAAAAGAACCCACTTCCGACGATTCGTTAAGAACAGGTTGAAGCACACTGCGATAATAGATTACCGCTTTCGCATTCAATAAATCTTCGCATAATAGCTTTCGTCGAAGGTGACGACGGTGTAAGGAAAATCCAATAAAGATGAATTATCTTCTTGTGGAATCAGAACGGCTAACTACAACGTAATTCGGAAATTAATAGTGCATTCGTAACTTCACTTCTTTCGGCTAAGGCTTAGTAGTAGTAGCTTTTCTTTTGTGCTTTACTATTATATATAATTGCAAAGCTCTCTCTATCCACTTTCGCCCCACAAAACTGATTGAAATATAAATAATGTTCCTGCCAAAGCTAAAAAATTAGAACCTCTTATGTCAAAACCCTCCCAACGGTTTACCGCCTCACCGTGGCTGAGTGGTGTTCCTGTGGTCGGGCTGCGATGCGCGGCGGAGAGATTCATTACACTGGCAGGGTCTCCCAAACTGAGGAGTTCGGAGTTTCTATCAGAAAATCTAGCTAAGAGTAAACGAATCCCAAGAACCACCACCGTCCTGGTATCAAAGTCGCATGGTGGTAAATCTCCCTCTGATCCACAAGGGCGGTGACTGCATGTGGTGGTGACGACCTGGGGCACTTTGGTCCGACTGACCTTAGGACTCTAGAGAACCGCATTGGCTAAGCCAGCAAAACTCTGAAAAATGGAGATTATGATGGGGCCCACACAACCAGTGAAGACAGGACATCAAATCACCAAAGTAAGTAAGTATGATAAAACAGCAATTTCGACAGATCAACTTCTACGAACTGAACCTTGGACATATGCAGCTTAAAAACGCGAAAGATTAAGAAAGTGTGGGCCACCGAAGTGTTAACGAATGCGCAGTGCGACGTCGGATTGGAAAATCTCGTTTTGGGAAATTCGCTCGTGAAAATAGAAAACATTGCCGACGTCCTTTTGCTATTAATGATGAATAGACGGTTTTGGTGGACGTTTATACTTTTGTGGCTTGCTATTGGCTTAATCCACAGCTTCCTGAATCCGGATGAAACAATTATCACATAGTAGGACGTCCAGCAAATAGATGAAATGAATCAGAAATTTAACGGTTGCGCCCTTTCTTGGTAGGTACAAACGGAGCTATCCTTCTTCACGATAGTCACCTGTAGTCATCCAATACGAAACTCAACCTCATACAACATACTCGCCAGCCCCCTCGACTACTGACTCCCACTTTTCAAGCACCCTAACAACATGCTGTGCAAAAACGCCTCAGAAACCAGGCCGGAGTCGGAACTACCTTCAACCACATCACCGCTTCCAGCATCAAGCTTGATACCCAGGATCACCTCCCAGCCACGATGAGGCGGTGAGCCGTTGTGAGGAATAATATGGTATTATTAAACAAAACATCCCAACTAGCCATAGACGTAACTGAAGGAATTTATATATAACAAGCGTTAGTGTTAATTACTAGAGAGTAGCTTTACTCATACGGGAATATCACTGTTTGTTACTGGTAACTAGATCTCATAGTGTGAAAGAAACTGCTACACTTACACAATGAAGAAAAAACATCAGAGTAACACACGACGTATTTCCAAAGTTTTATCCACCAAAGGCGATAAAAGTCATAGAAGCATTACGAATGCAAATAAAGCACAATTTAGAAAGAAAGGATTTAATCACAATCGTCTGAATCATCAAAACGGAATGACTCATAAATAAAAGAACGCTGTGCTCAGTGAACAGTATGCTACTGATGATCAAAGACAATCACAACTCGTCTACAAAGAGGACGTTTTCCAGTCTATGACACTCGTATACTCGTATTCACGTAAAGTAGTACAATAAGATCTATGTAGAGCCATTTCCTACAAAAGCTTACCCGTAATAGAGCTATTTCTCTTTATTTCTGTATTTCATTTTCTTCGCAGCCTGAATTGAATCACGGACGAAGTTCAGCACAACACCATAAGAAGCACTGGTACGCTCGGATGGCTTACATACGTTGTGGTGAACCTTTAAAGAATAAATCGATAATCAAAAGTAACTAGCTAGCAAAACCCACATATAGGAGTTTAAATTCCAAACTGCTATAAATATTTCAGTTAGAGATTCTTAGGACCCAAGTCAACATCAATAAAGAAGCTATATTAACTTAGAAGAAGGAACAAGGCGAAGTTGCTGAAACGTTAGCAGAATAAAGGTATTGTACCAATCTCATATTAGTTCAAATATGTAGAAAAAAATTATTATTGATATTCACTTAATTCAGAACGACAGAGTTAACAAGCTTGTGAATACAGGAATGGAGCGAACTTAAATACGCTATTATATCAATATCTCCTTTTCTAGTAGTAACGCACCTCCTCAATGTGATAAACTGCACCTTTTTCATAAACAGCTGACTGTGTCGGCACTATTATACCTTTGGCAGTACCTGTAATGCAAAGTGAAACGCAATGAAACACCTTCCAAGCAATCACGAAAAGATATTTGAATATTCGTAACTTCTTTTACACTCATTTATCATATTCATAATGACGCAAGTTCTGCTAAAACAAGCGATAATTTACCGATAACCGAAAGCACTTCAGAATATAAGGACATGACAATAATACAAAATAGCCTATCCCCTATCGCTCCAACATACCGTATACTGCTGGATAAAATTATTTACTTATTTGGATAACTGGATGGTCCATCCCCACTGATTGTGCGGACCCCAGCATAATTTCTACCATTTTGGAGTGTTGCTGGTTTAGGCAATGTACCTCCCTGGAGCCCCGAGCTCAGCTATCCTAAGGTCTACTCGAGGTCGGCATCACCACCGGCAGTCGCCACCGTTGCTGATCAGAGGAGAGACATGCGAGCACACGACTAGTTTGATACAAGGTTGGTGGTGGATCCTGGTATTCGTTTACTCTCAGCTGAGCTTCCTAATGAAAAAACCGGACTCAGCTTGGGAAACCCTGCTGGACATGAATCTCGCGCTGTACATAGTAGCCTGACAACCAGGAACACTTCCCAGCTACCATGAGGCGATTAACTATTTGGAGGGTTGGATAATGTAAGGCTTGTCATATTGCTCCGCCGGTTAAGATATCAGTCTCGACTACCGAGAGCAAGAAATACTTCTGGATTCCAGAAAAATGCTATTTATTCTAGAAGAGTAGTTAAAACTGCATAACGTTGACGGAAACGTAAAGATTCCAGCAAATTTTACTTTAATCAATAAATTCCGTAGTGCAGATAAAGTGCTGGTGGTGCCGTTAAAATACGCAAGGCCTTTTTTAAACCCCGTCCAGGGTAAAGCGAGCAGAAAAGAAAGTTCACTAGAAGCTGAGGTGGCAAATCGAACTCAATGCACGTTGTCCCGAATGTCAACTCACATAGCCTTCTACAATTGGTATATGTTTGTGTTACAACATAAAAAGTGATAATCGCACCAATGAGATCAGATTCCTTTGTTTCCACCATACTTACTATGACAGGAATGTTGCCACTGATCGTCGAGAAATCCTCATTTAACTACAATTTCACTTAACAGAATACTGGAAATTGAGTGTCACATCAGCAAGGATATTCTTGATATCAGAAGAAGTCGTATGCAAAATGAAAAACGATGAAATGTGCTCACATAATAAAATAAATAACTCATACCTTCTTATTCACAGGATTTTCCTCAAGGAGAAAAAGAACATCCGCTGTTGGATGAAGTATTGAGTAGCCCCAAGAAGCTATTGGTGACCCTCTATGAGGTGTGGCTATGAATAACAAACCAACCTAAAGTGAACAATCTAAAAACAAGAGGATAAACACTATTTTTCCTTGGGCACCACAATCGTAAAGAAGAGCTCTAAAAATTGTCAAAAAAAACTTGTAAACAATAAGCACCGTTTTCTTAGCGAGTCCCGGGAGATCCAGAAGCAATCTTTTAGCCAACAAACCACCCATACTATGACAAATGAAAATGACGGGTCGTTTACCAACACCAGCAGCCTCCAACTGATGTTTGAAACGATCAGCTCGAACCTTCAATAGACAGAAATAGAACTAATTAGAACCAAGACGACATTCTACTGAAATTTGGCCTTCCAAGTCTACGTAAAACTAACACAATAATAAGGATAAAAGGATAACACTCTCGGCGTTGACCAGTCTCTGAGAGATGCGTCATGCATTCAACTTCAATAATCACCGTTGGAGGTGACTGCAGGCATACTTGGCCCTTACAATGACCAGAGGTAGCCTACCAATGTATCTGGCCAGTGGTACTATCCTCCCAGACAAGTTTGGTACCTATTTGCCGAACTCGGAAGCGTGGAATGCTTGGTAAGCCTTGGGCGCGGGAATCCCATATGTGTTTCAGGGCGCCTCCGATCACTCCGCTGAACGCGCCCATTTACATAATAGTGGATGCCCATTACAATAAATATCAATGACTTCGGAAAGAAATAGATTTCGACAAGCAGCAATACTCAACGGAAGGACATGAAACAAAAATAAGAGTTGTTAAACTATACTTGCAAACTTTCCATTGCTCCAGTAAACTGCATTATATATGACGGATAATCGAAGCCAAGAATTCGCATAGGATCTGAGATGTCCAGGTGGAGCCAGTCCTACAATGCAACAGTACGAGGCTACAAGTTCAATGGTGAGCAAACTTGAGCAATAAAACCCACCTTTGGCCAACAATCGGAAACAACATTACTGGAATGGTCTTTCTGCCTCCATGTATAAGCAACACTTCCACACAGGCCATGGATTAAAATAATGTCAACCTTAATAGTAACACTTTAATATCTAAACAGATCAACAAACAAAAATTCTTAACAAGAAATAGATCACCACAGGCTCCTTGTCTGGCAGAAAAAGCTCGTACACATCAGATCGGAGTTGATAGCTGAGAACACCCAAAGTATTCAACCCGTTTTGGCAAATCTTAAAACAGGAAATTCAAAACAACATGAAAAGCTAGAACTATTGAGCAGTAGACAAAATACGTTCACTACGGTAGTCCGGAAGTATTTACAGTGCGGAAAGAATCAAGAAGATGCGCGTAGGACTAAATATATCTCGTTGTACTCACATAAACTAATTCTAATCTTTCTCAAGAATCATTTTATGCAGTAAAAACTTTGGAAAATTGGTAAATAGAGAAAGGAAATAAACTAAACAATATACTTCAAAACTGACTTTCTTTTAACCTCAGTATGACTAATCAATATGCACTCTTTCTGTTATTAGCTTATACGAGGTTCTCGAACGCAAAAGAAAGAATACATATAAACAAAATATTTGCAGACTAATCAACTCGAAATTTATAAAAATAGAGTTCACAGTAAGGACAACATAGCCAAAACTTTATCCAAATCTGTGAAGAAAAACATACATCTACACAAACCTTGTGAGAGAGTAATCGTTCTTCTAATGATACTCCATGGTTTACGAGAGATGCCAATAAAGGGAGCCACTCTTAAAATGGAAATTACAGTGTGGTTTGAAAAAAAATTTAGTTCTACACGGATAACATGAAGCAACCTCCTAACGGTTCACCGCCTCACTGTGGCTGGGAGGTGTCCCTGGGTCTCGGGTTGCGATGTACAGCGAAGGGATTCGTAACCTAGGCAGCACCTCCCAAGCTGAGAAGGAGTCCGGCGTATCCATCAGAAATCCCAGCTAAAAGTGAACCAATACCAGGATCCACCACCGTCCCGGTATCAAAATAGTCGCATGGTGGCAAATCTCCCTCTGATCCACAAGGGCGGCACCTGCCTGTGGTCGTGACCATCTGGAACAGACTTCGGCCAGGCTGACCTCGAAACTCTAGGGAACCACCATGGCTGGACCAAAAAAGCTCCGAAAAAAAATGAAAAACATGCAGAAGTTCGCATAACATATGAAGACGAGCCATCTAAGCATATCTAAATAAGTAAGATAAAGCAATATGAATGGCTGCTTACCAGAAGTAAAAATGGCATTCGCATACGGTGGACCATTGAGAGCAACGTTAGCAAGGATTTTCAAAGCCAGTAACGACAATTCCTTATTTTTTTCGCGAAACTGGGTAAATATTAAGTATAGTAGCGGCAAAATTTCGCCGCCTATCATCGATGGATTGAATGGAAACTGAAAACATTGCAAATTTCATACTAAAACTTTGCGGTTACAAGGCCTTTTAGTGTCAACCTCGGTTTTAACAAACAGGAGGCGCAGGAGTTGTAGCAAGCGCCAAACCTGACTTGGCCTTCTTGCGAACCACTCGTCCGGACAGGAAAGGTCTTCTTCTGGACATGCAACTCTGTAAATCGGAGTTCTAGCGAAAAACAAACGACTCACCACTACCGTTTATAAACCAAAAGCTTCATCAAATTAACCGATGACAAAAACGATGCTCACCTGTTCAGCCACGCTAAGCGAGAATCCCATTCATTACCAATGTTGAACTGAAGTGATAAAACGATGACTGACGACAAGAGCACGAGATTGAAAAGAATGAAGTACGAATAACTACAATGATGCTAATGAAGGGTCTGCATTGTATGTTGGTGAACGCGGTATGCCCCGGAAATGGCACCAACGCGTTCGACCCCCACCGCAGACACCTGCGGTCCTGAGTCTGCAGATACCTCAACATCACTCTAGTTATATTTCACAACATACCATACCATGAAAAAAAATAGGCACTAAATGAAAAAGTAACTACTCTTAATTTAGTTTACACAAAAACGTTCCCATATGCTTTCCTACACTGATCTTTGTCCTTAGTGTTTAAATTGTTGAGCTTATACGAGGTTGATACAGATTTTTATTCGGCCGACCTTTCGACACCTTTGCCTTCGTCAGAGCCGATGATCCGAGTCGATGGTCCACAGTCTAAGAGGAAGACGCCACATGGAGAGGACGAACAACTGTGGACCATCGACTCGAACCATCAGCTCCGATGAAGATGGAGACGTCGAAACGTTAGCCAAATAAACATTTGTATCAACGTTGTGTAAGGTCAACGAACCATAAAGATATTCATTACTACCGAAGTTAAATGACGGTCGGTTTTAAGAAAGTACGAATATTTTTCTCCAAAAGATATCCAACCGACCTTTGTTAAAAGTCTCAAAAACATTAAGTCGCTGTCATCCTTATCAAACGTTGACACAGGTACGTACTTACAGAGTTCTGAGCCTCGAAGAGCTAATACTCCTAGAGCTCTAGGGCACAGCGATTGCAAATAGGAGCTATCTGAAATCCTCGACATTCTAGCAAAATTGAGGTCAATGAAGAGATTTCCAAAGACAGAACAGAGGCTGAATAACCTGGTCTGTGGTCCTGAAGGAATCGGAGTGCTTCCTGTGTGTCGACGTTGGCATTCAACGACTTGATTGCTTCGTCGACTGTGCGAATACTGACTAAGGTCGGTGCATTGTAGTAGTACGTCCGAAACGCAGAATAAATCGCACTGAAAGAGCTTGACGTATTCTAAAAACAGCCCGGTTAATTAAAACAAGGGATGTGCTAAAAAAAGAAGCTTCTGGAGAGCTTCTTAAATACTGTGAAAAGAAATGTTAAACACACACACAAAGACATGGTCATTCTTAGACATAATTTTATACGAAAAAAGTCTTAACTCACGAAACAGCTACAGTCGGGATGATATAGCGTGCCATATCCATGAGGGATACATTTAGACTACCTTAGGACCAGAACAACGATAGAACAATTCTCAAGACGCAAAAAGCTGCTCCAATCCATTATTACGCGCTGTTTCAAACACGCTGGTGGAAGGGCTTCTGTCTAGCGAAGTGGAAGATTTAATGATGATGGAAGCATGGGAAATGAATGATCGACAGAGTTTATGAAGATGATCGATCTGCTATTCCATTTAAATAGTATGTCACATGACCGTTTCCTTAAGGTCTGAAGGTTAACAGTATTAAAAACGTCGAAATTTGCGATTCGTTCGAATTCTAAGACATGAAAATGTGGGAAACGTTTGGATATGGCGAAGAATCTGTGCTATTGGCTAAAGCTAAAGTTTTCGTAGTAGAACGCATCTATAGGTAGTTTCACTAGGGTAAGAGCTGGACAAACGGTTCATTCCTGCGCAGCGTATGTCGATTTGTTCGCCTTAAGAGACTGTGAAAAACCTATCAAATAGTCATTAGCTTAGGCTTAGTAAAGCTAGTTGAAAACTTGGGAAGATGAACGATGAACGCGTGGAATTCAGAACAGTTAAACGAGTCAGAAAATAGGCAATCGCTTCTTCATCGAACTTTCATCACATCTGTAGAAGTCGGGAGTTTTAAAAATGGTTACATTTTGTGTAAGAAAGTTTCAAAAAACTAGTATTTATTGCAAGTAGAAAAAAGGAAGAAAATCTACCATGTTTTATGGCCAGTGAGTAGGTGTGTTGCGTTCTGCACTACACACATAGTCGATGATTCGATCATGCGCTCACCCACCTAACTAACCGAACCCACCACCACTCTAGGGCTAAAAAATTTGTGCTATAATTATGTACGAGGAAAAAACACTTTCTTGATACATTGGCACTTCCTCGTAAGTTAGCATGTTCATTATAATTCTTAGCCACCATCAAAGGGGCGCGTGTTACGCAATGGTCGGAGGCGCCCTGCAATACACACGAGGTCGATCTCTGCGGCACAGGCTCACCAAGCTTTCCATCCCTCCGAGATCGGCTTATTGGTAACAGATCTGTTTGGGAGTATAGCAGCACTGACTCGATACATCGGTAGGCCACTCCGAGTCATTTTAAAGTCCAGATGTGCATTCAATCATCACTAACAATGCTTATAATGAGGTCAAATACATGACGCGTCCCTCAGCGATTGGATTTACGCTGAGAGCTTTATCCTTAATCCTTTTTATGTTTTTTCAGTTTCTTTGATGTCAGTAGGTGGCTTTATTTAGGAAAATCTGTCTCTGAAAGATCCCACAGAGATGTAGGGCTTCGTGCTGCTAAGGTACAGAGACGAACCAAAGACCACGTGAATATTGAAACGCACCTCTAACCATTGCGCTACATGTGCCCTCCGTACTGAGATCATAACCGCAATGATCCTTTATAAATCGGTTTTGTGATAATGCTCAACCGATTTATGAATGATTTCTTTTAACAAAGACGGATTTGGGAGCAGTACCGTAAAGGGCATAGCCAACCGTGCGCCTTGGTGGATCCTTCACCTTGTCAGCTCTCGTGAATTTTACGTAATTTCTTCTGTTCTTCACACTTTAGTGGCTTCAGTTTAAAATTTGAGGCTTCAATTAGCTTTTTCTGTTGAATATTTTATTATAATTCGATGCTAATACAACAATCGGAAGCACAAGTAGAGCAGTGGTACTGATGCAGTTCAATGCGTGCAGGAACCTCCTGGTTTGGCCGCCTTTCAGGCCAAACCACTTTCCTCCACCCTCTTTCTACATGAAGAAACTAGCTTTTCTGAGATCAGCTGGTTTCCTACAATCTACAAAGGTGTTAACTATCCGTGATAAACAACTGAGAGCGCCATAGTACAACTTAGTCCCAGGTTTACAGGAGGGAATCGACTCGCTCTGTCATCAACGACACTCATAAGGAAGAACAAGGTTCTTCAAGCAGTAGTCGAACCCATACAGAAATCCGTAGCTCTTCATGAAAGAGTGAATACAAGAGGCTTGCAAAAAGTACTAGGATTCGCGTACTACGCGTTGTTGGCTCGTGTAAAATGAAATGCGGTAAAATAAACGGAAAGCACAGGATTCACACATGGAAGAATGTCTTGACTTTCGATCTCCTGATATTAGGACTAGTGTTAAGCCTCTTATTTAGGAGGAAAACATTCCCCACCCACCTAATTCTAAACGGCTTACGTTTATTGAATTTCACAGCTACTGCAATATTCATTAGTCAGAAATTAGCGCATTAATAGAAGATCATTGAACTTGACATGAAGTGTTTGAGAAGCAGATCTAAGATCTCACTGAATTAAATGTTTCAGACGTAAAACCGAAATTTCTTCAAATCTCTAGTTTCCGTCACAGATAACTATAGTTGACATTGTACCTTTCTTGTATTCTAGAAAAGCCGGATGATTAAATTGCTAATTTCATCCTAAATTCCAGTGGGCTTTTCTATTGCTTATCGTTCTCTTACATTTGTCAAAGTATTCCTGTTCAACAAATAGGGAACAACAAAGTTCGTTCTTCACATAACGTATTTAGGTCTAACTAGTTTGGAATAGAGTTTGACTTTTCTGATAAAATCGACAGTCGTACCACATAAGAGTAAACAGTATTTAGAAAGCCTTCTTGAGATTCGCTATCGATTCGTTCTTAATAGATAGTAGGTAACTAGGACTATATCTAAATGACATAGTTGGCGACTACCAGTGACAAAACTCACACTTTAAGAAAGTAATGCTTACAAACGAGGTTCTCATATTTCCTAAACATACTCAGACTAGATCATCCGTGTCTGAAAAAGAAAAGATTAGCGCCGTCTGTTGCTACTTCCGGCATTTGGAATTGTAAATTCAATACAATCGTATTCACAAAAAACATTTTTCTCCAAAAAAAGCAATTTTTGTCTCATATATAGCACCGATACTCACTGTCGATAAAGAAACTGAGAAAAAGAAGAAATTGGAAGAGGTTTACGTAATCTTGCTCAGTTCTTGAAAGATGGTCGTTTAGACATACAGGCTTTCATCTAGCATTGGGTAAGGCCTTATCGGTTTCACTGCCTGCTGAAGAATTTCATAGTGTGAATTTCTTATGCTTATTTAGAAACCATGTGTTTTTTTTACCATTGCTAATCCCCGAATCAGAAGACTTTTTTCAAACCGTCGGTACTTTATAGCTTTACATACGATCTAGTAATTTCGAACTCAGTAAATTGATTTCGTCTAGTTCCAATCTGAAATTAATGAAATTCTGTTTTTACTATATTCTGTGGTTAATTTTGTTACTGTATGCTGTCCGTCTTAAAGGTTTAATGCCTTATCGTTACATTGAAGGATGTTTATGAGAGACGAACTGCAACGTATAGCTGGAGGTTCAGCTTCCGCTATGATCAGCCGAGCGAAGGACGAGATATCTGTTGGAGCTTTCAGTTAAGAGGTTAAGAGTAAGATCACACCACGACAAAGCCTGGCAAGGCTCTGTGATTAGTTCCTTGCCAATTAGTCCCAATAGGGAAAATCCTAGGGTAACCATGTCTTTCGGTTTAGTGGAACCAACTAGTTACTTCCAGCGTGTGATAAAGAAGAATAGGCAAATTGAATAGATTAAAACGAATTTTTATTAGATCTAGTGTGATTCTATTTTGCTTACCTCCAGATGATGTAAATAGGAACAGAACTTTACAATTCATGCATAAATTTCAGTTACTTTTCAGTAAATAGTCATTTTACAATGCAAATGTAGCCGTCGATGAAATCCTTTATTCGATTCTAATAAACCCAATAACTATCTCGCTTCTCATTAGGTAGTAAATATGAACAACGTGAAATTTTTTTTATTCTATTAACAACGTCCTTCGAAGCATGCAATGCCATATCTGTCCATCGGAGTCGGCTTTAAGTCATCTCCCACGATGAACCTAAAATAGAAAAAAGCACAAAATTTGATAATATTTCCTACGTTTACTTATCCAGTTAAATATATCAAGATCGATTACATAACCATGAGCTAATCAGATTTGGGGTTGTGGGAAAATTTAGTTGCACCTATCGCGTTAAGGGGCTGGTGTAGCAGTCCTCAAAAATGCTCTGCGATGCAAGTGGTCCATAGTTCGACCCAGCACAATCAGGTTTTGTATCACTCTGGAGCCATCAAATCAATGCCATACTTGTCTGTGAGGATAAGAAAAAGCTTTGACTCCGCACAACAGTAGGCCACCGCAAGTCTCTGTGCAGACTAGATTTGCATTCAATCACCTCTGATGATACTCGATGAGGTCGAAAGCATGGCGCTTCCCTCAGCGGTTAGTCAACAAGGAACGCTTTACCCACCTCCTGTGATGTTTTTATTGAGAAGAAAAAATGAAAAAAAACATGAGAACGTTGCTCTTATTCACCTTATCCATCCATTGCCTTGATATTTTGCGGTGTTGTTTTCTGCCGGATGCCAGTCATTATTTTCCCATTTATAAGTTTGAATTAACCATGGCTTGTTACCGCATTCTTCACCAATCACCTGAATTATTGGTTTGAGTGTAATGTCTTAAAAATCGTTCTAGAGCTTCGATTGCTTACCTCGACCCTTTTTGTTTCTTTTTTATCAAAAATCATAGGCGATGATTGAACACCAAGTGCTGGTATGATGACGACTGTTTTGAACTGAAACGAAAGAAGTTTACCATTTACTCCGTCATCACTTACATTTCCTGCAAGTCGTTTTTGTCGTTTTCACTTATTTTTACGTTTCATAGAGTTGGGTTTACCTCTTCATATATGTATTTGTGTCTTCTTTTGTAATGAACTTTCCAATAATTAAGTACCAGATAAGTAAGACGTTTGTTCAACACTAGTTTCTCAAGAGAGAATATAGGTTAAGATTAAATCCACTGCTGATCACTAACTCTGTTTTTTTTTAAAAACTAGTAATAAAATCTATCATGAGCTACTGTTGGCATCATTTATGACTACGAATTAGTACGACATGAATAACGAGGCGAGAACTCGGAACGGTAGGTGAAGGTTTGCTTGTTGGCATATGATCACCTAAACATCAGAACAGCTCACAATCTCTAACCGTAGTCCATTCTAACGACATCACCTTATTTGTGTGAATTGGTTTACGAACCTTTTTATCTGTTTTCGACGTGACTCTGACCATTATTTCGCAGAGAAAGCCATCGGTAATGACGACTAAGCTGCAGATGAAGGCAAATCGACAAAGGACGACGGTTGACATCATATATGGATAACGACGTGATGTGAAATGATATGAACGAGCTTCAATCACGAGACTGCGATCTGCATTTATATACGGAAACAAACCGATGAGTTGATATTTGATAGTGAGATGACACACTAATCTAGAAAGTGGCGTGGTTACGACATGATATCGTCAACTTGTACGAATTGTGAATTGTGTCCGTTAATCGCTCTACATTAATGGGAAAGGAGACTGTACGGATATCTCTTCTTCTTCTTGAAACTTTTACATTTTTATTTTGCAGTGTCAAAGTTGCATTAGGCTCCTGACTTTCTCTCTGAAAGGGAAAACAATGGAAAATATTGTTTTCGTTATTTCCTTCATTCAGTGACGGTATTCAACCACCTATCTCTTCATGAACATTTCTAGGTTTCAAGAAAAAGTTGCTGAATCTTACTCACTTTTGCATTACTTATTTGCTGACCCTTCAATGTTTTAAGGTAACTTTTGCTTAACTACAACCATATATGATTACGTCGTTTGTCGATAATTATAAAAAGAGGAGGTGGGGGTAAATATTACTTCGCAAAAATATATTGGCTCATTTTCAGAGTCGCGCTTTTATGTGCTTACAAATTCGTTTTTGGTCAAGGTCAATACTTTTCTTTCAGTGTGATATCCGTTAGACAGAGAAACAATCCATTACTTCTCCGTAGTTGGATCATTTTTTTTGAACGGAGAACAGATAAAGCACTTAAATATGTACGATTTTTCCGGGACATTTTTTATGGGATTATTTCTATGAATTATGAGAATTTCATCAATTCTTCCCTCCCATTAGATCAGTCAAGTGGCCCCAAATATTGCATTCATAATTTTTTTCGCTTATAAAATTTGCTCATAGGGATCTACCCTGTTAAGAAATGCAGAGAAGAACATCATATCCTTGATCGTCATCGTAAATAATTTTAAGCAACAGCCTAGTGAACTTTCCTTTGTGCACCCAACTTTCCATAGAAGTTAGCCGGTAACAGAAACCGTTTAGTGGGTGTCATTCAAATACATGTCATAATTGTGCGCTGTAACTCTGACCTCAAATTGTAACTTGGTACTTTGAGTTATTTATATCTCGTTGGAAACGTGGTCGAAAACAATGGCCATCGTTTCGTCTTTCTCAATTGACTTCTGTGCTTCCGAGTCATACATGAAGACAAAAGAAAGCAGTATAATCAAAGAAATAACCAATGAGAAGGGTTTGTTTGTCATCTTCACTATATTGTTGATACCCAAGACAGATACAGCCACGGAAATTAGTAGAAACAAAGTCGAATTATGGAGTGACAAACGTTAAATAGAAAGGCCCACAGTTATCTTTGAGGCGATACGGCGTTATCGAATTGGTCTCATTGCGCACCACGAGCCGTAAGAAATGGAGCACCGTTGCGAATGCGTTGGACGCATCATAAGGTCTCTAATAAAAGCTTTTCCGGTGCTTCCATAAGTCACTTGCAAGCATTGTTCGTCGGTGTAATTGTTTAAAATTTTAATCTGATAGGACCGTGGAACTCTAAGAATATTTTCGCAGTCGTTTCTTTAAGTATTCTCTTTCGAGAGTGCTTTCGAGCTCAGTAAAATTCTAGCAGTCTTTTGTACTGTTTTCACCATCACATGGTCTCATATAGCTAACTGAAATCTTTATGAAATATGTTGTCTTACGAGTTTATTTCTGAGGAAATAATGATTCGATGAGTTCATCACTGGTTTAAACAAAAATTTACAAATCTGCTCTACCCAGAGCATGTTAGAAGATTAAGCCGAAGCAAGTCAATATTCATCAAAGCGACTGGTGTTAGAATTTGTACACGAGACCGTATTTATTTCTAACCACACAGACAGCACTAAGATTCCATGGCAATTCTATTGGAACTATGCGCTTGTAGAAGTAGATCCATAAGAAAGCACAGAAGCCAGCAAACACTATTTTCATGCCCAAGCTGGTCGAGGACCAAATTCGGTGAACAAATGCTTGGAAGTGCATTGATTTTACTTTGTTTTTACACAACTAGCGGTATTTTGCCTAGTATAAGTGTCCAACTACCCGTACAGCGGAGGTTCGTGCAACATAGCTTTTCAAATTAAGAGTGCAGCTTCTATGATGCTGAGATATTTGCGAAACTCCGAACAGCAGATGTCTGTGGTGGAGAAGGAACGCGCTATTACCCTTTCCGGGGGCTAACGCGTTCACCACCACACCATGCGGGTCCTTCGTTTCGCCTGTCTCCGCATGGTGTGGTGATGAACGCGTCAGCCCCGGAAAGGGTAATAGCGCGTTCGTTCCCCACCGCAGACGCCTACGGTCCAGAGTTTTGCAAATACCTCAGTATCATAGAAGTTATATTTCGCGACATGCTCTGTCTTTAAAAAGAGTAGGCAGTAAATAAAAGGCTAAGATTAAGAGTGCAACATTTCTAGCTGGAAATCCCATAGGAAGGAATAATGTGGCACGGGAAAGTTCACCCACTGATTCTTTAATATTTTCTTACTAAGGTAAAAATAAACGACCTGATAACAAATCTATGAGGCTATCCGGATCACAGGGGCGATATTGGGATGGTTCTGAAGGGTAGCAGAAACGAACGGAAACATTATTGGTGATCGCTTAGGTTACAAGACTAATAAAAGAGTTGAAAGTGACACAAATGAGTGGCACGTTCATAACCGTAGAAACTTACGCCACGGCAACTGGTCCGCGCATCCTTGCCAAGCTGCCAGTGAGAATGAGTAGACTTTGCATTGTACCCTGAAGTGATTTATTAGAGATCTCAGTAGAGTACCCTGCTCTTGTTTTTCCTAGTTGGCTGGGATGCTTTCCGCCTTCGCTTTAGTAAGCAGCCCATGGCTGCCTTCACATGATTTGCTGGTGATGGAACTGCGGGTAATTTCAGTAATGGTGAAAGAAGCAAAGAGCTTGACAAGTTTATTTTATATTTGTAAACACTGCCTGGTCAACTGAAATATCTATGCTTTTTAAGCTTTATTCATTAGATTTTCTGGTCATAGAGTAAATTAATCTGCCAGCTGTTCATCTGATTTCGTGGTCCAAGTAGGGTTGAAAAGTGGTATTCGTAATGACAGGAAATGCAGGTCCGATTAGAAAAAAACATGCAGTGATGTACACTATGGAACTAAACTGCGGTGTTGATTTGCACCTAAAGTTTAGATTCACACAGAAAATTTCGCCCTTGACACTTAGGATGCAAAAAATTAATCCCAAATAAAGAGAAAGCGATTTTAAGTCTGTACCACACGAATGATAGTCTGCATCCGACTGGATCATGATTTCGAGTTATTGTGCCGTTTACGTTCATGACTGAAATTCTTGAAGATTACTCGCTTTGAAATTAAAACAACAAGTTTGTTCAACTTTGTTGAAGCATAAATCTGTCATAACACCGTCATCGATGCTTCACAAAAATCAATTATTCTTATCTAGTCGAACGGATTCGTTTGCTGTAAGGTTATCGCTATTCGAAATTCACAACTCATATTCTTCTTGGTATGGGATGGATCCAGGAAGAAACCACCACGGAAACGTGATTGGATGAAATGCCATCAATCCTAACATTCCAGCGCAGGTACCGATTCGGCGATCTATTCTAAAGCCTGTCGTTAATGTTTGGTCACGAAACAAGAAGTTTACCAGTTCTGTTTGCGTTACGCACATCTTTCCGATGTCGTAGTAGACAAAGATTGCTTATGTGAGGAAACTAACAAGTCCAAAACTACCGTGCACCAATGAGTTATACAGTACTTTTTGCTGCTTGGTCCAGCCAAATATTGTCACCGAAACAGGCGTTCCCAGCCTTCAATATTCCATTTCTTTTCTGAACAACCTATTTTTCTTTAGTTCGAGAGAGGCATAAGATCTTACGTTACCATAACTGATGTCAAGTATGTTAGCAAAAAGACTGCTTCATGCATCCCTAGCTGGCAAGTAATGGGTTAAACTCGAACCAACGATGAACTTGCACTTGAGGTGCACGTGAAACTTACGCTCACTGATTTCGTCGTGGTTTGTGAATTAGGCAACTCATCGACTAAATTTATCGAAGACGATGTTCGCAAAAATGGATAATACGAGTGAATGCGACTTATCGGCGATGAGAAGTCTATCACCTGAACCTGAATCTTCCTTTGCACTGGAGCAGGTACAAGCTCGGACTTGGTCCATTTACCCCTTACCTGCCGCTCGGAGGCGCTCTATGTGTCCTTGCAACAAGCTTAGTCGGTACTCGTTACATATAAGTTTAGCAGTATTGACTATTATGTTTAAGTGCCTAAGTAGTACAGTTGAATTTTTTTAAAATTTTTACAACTTGACCTACGTTTCAACGTTCGAGACGACGAACATTTGTGTTAAACGAGTATAAATGCATATAATAACTGCGGCTATATCGTATTTAGGCAAGGCGAAGAATCGTGCATA